GGCCTCACAGGGCACCTTCCCTGAGAGGGGTGAATGTGTTGCATTTGGCTTCGTGTAAGAGCCAGCCTGTCTGGTCTTCCAGGTCTCCTCATCACGTGCCACACTGTCAAGATCCAGCTGCCGGAGGGGTTTCGGAAAGAGATGGTGCGCTATCTGCGCTCTGTGCAGCTCCCAGATGGAGGCTGGGGCTTGTGAGTAGCAAAGATGCTTCTTTTAGTGATGGCACCTCCAAGGTCCAGCACTTGGAGCTGCTGTCAAATCTGCCCAGGCTTAGAATCATAGAATCATAGAATCATTAAGGTTGGAAAAGACCTCTAAGATCATCGAGTCGAACCGTCAACCCAACACCACCATGCCCACTAAACCATGTCCCTAAGCGCCTCATCTACATGTCTTTTAAATACTTCCAGGCATGGTGTCTCAACCACTTCCCTGGGCAGCTTGTTCCAATGTTTACCCACTCTTTCAGTAAAGAAATTTTTCCTCATGTCCAATCTAAACTTCCGCTGGCACAACTTGAGGCCGTTTCCTCTCGTCCAGCTTGGGGAGTGGGACTTGGCAAGTGTGATACCTCTGAGTGGTTGGACTTGCTTGTGTAGCACTCCAGGTACACCTTTTGCCACAGAGATGGCTGGAGCATCAAGTCTGGCTGCACCTTTTCTGTGGCGCTATATCCCAAAGCATCATGTGTGACAGGGTAGTGCAGAGCAGTGTTTCTCCCTGGGTTAGTTGGGTCTCCCCTTTTCCACAGTCACCCCTGGCATCCCACTTCACCCTGACAAAGACAGCTCTGTGCAGTGGGTTGTGTCTGGCTAATGTTAATAGCTGGCTAATGGCTATGCTGTCTCTGTGTATGCGTGTGACAGGCATGTGGAAGACAAATCGACAGTGTTTGGCACAGCACTCAACTACATAGCCCTGAGGATCCTGGGGCTTGGACCAGACGACCCTGACATTGTGCGGGCCCGTGTCAACCTGCACAGCAAAGGTCAGCTCCACTGTGCCCAGCACAGCAGCCGTGGGGCTGGTATGCTGGTGAGAGAGGTCTGGCCAGACCCGAGGGCTGCGTGGAACGTGGGGGGCTGCCAGGTAGTGGAGAAACTGTTGCTCTTGCTTGCCCTTGATGGCACCCACATTTTCAGTTAATGATGGGAAAGTGTGTTACGTTTTTGTACCATTGCCTGCTTGCCCTTTTTTGGGACATGTGTCTCAGCCTGAGTGGCATGCTCCCAAACATGGGAGAAGTGGACCCTGTGATGGGGAAGAAAGCAGGGAGCTGGCATGATTGCGTTAACCCTGAAAGCTGATATCACTCTTTGCAGGAGGTGCTGTGGGAATCCCTTCCTGGGGGAAGTTTTGGCTGGCTGTCTTGAACGTTTACAGCTGGGAGGGAATGAACACGCTTCTCCCAGAGATGTGGTATGTGCCATTCTTGATGTGGAGGTAGGATGTATTGTCAGTCCTGCCACCAGTCTCAGCCCAGAGCTCTCCCACGCACTGGTGTTTGCTGGGATAACTCCAGCTATGGCCTGGAACTGGGGGTGCTCAGGCTGCTTGTCAGCTGGGAGACCAGCAGCAAGGCCAGCCAGTGGGTGGATAGCACCGAACACTGCACCGAAGGGAGATGCCAGAGCTCAGCCCTGTTAGCTTTATCCACAGGGTCCCTGATACATCCATGTGCTCCCTGCGTGCCACCAGTATCTTCTGGTCTTGTGGCCAGCCAGAAGTGGGCCTTAGCAGGACAGGACAGCTACATGTAAGACTGCCAGCTCGTACCCTCTCTGATTACTCAGGGGGCCACTGGGTGTCAGAGAGGGAAAGTGTATGACATTTTCCCTGGGGGAAACCAGGGGCTGCACAGCACCAAGGGCTGCTGGTACTTTGTCATCAAATGCACTTAACCATCAGTCTGGGCTTCTGCCTTCAAAGTCACTTGGGGAAGAAAGGAGCCCCTGAACTGACTTCTCCCCTCCCTCCTCTCGGAGCTCGGTATCCTGCCTGCCCTGTGTCAGCTGGGCCAGGAGCACTGTCTGCTGGCCCTGTTGGGAAGGATCTGAGCAGGGCCAGGCTGTGTGGATATTGCCTTCTTTTCTCCTGCAGCTGTACCAGCAGCAGCAGGCCTGGTACAGGGGATAGGGAAAGGCATGCCCTGCTGTGGGCATCCCCCTGTCAGCACATCATCTCTCCGTGCTGCCCTTGGCCCTCCTTGTTCCTCACAGTAGCACCTTCTCTGTTGCGAACAGGTTGCTTCCTACATGGTTCCCAGCCCACCCGTCCCGGCTCTGGTGTCACTGCCGCCAGGTTTACCTCCCCATGAGCTACTGTTACGCCAGGCGTCTGTCAGCAGAAGAGGACGAGCTCATACGGAGCTTGCGGCAGGTAAGGAGCTGACCCTGGTGGGGCTCCCCGACAAGGATACGTGGCTCCCTGACCACCTCCTGTGCCAGCCATGTCCTTGTAGGCCAGCCTCTGGCTTGCGAAGTGACAGCTCTCATACCTGCACAGTCTCTCTGTCCAGGCAGCGGAGCCAACTTCCAGCAGTAAGCTGCCTCTGGGTGCTTGCTCCCAGCTTGCCAGGCTGATGCCCTTTGTTGTCTTGTGCCAGGAGCTGTACGTGCAAGACTATGCCAGCATAGACTGGCCAGCCCAGAGGAACAACGTGGCTGCCTGTGATGTGTACACCCCACACAGCTGGCTGCTGGGGGTTGCCTATGGTGAGTGCGGTGTTGGTTGGGGCGGGAGGGCCCTTGCTGGTGGTGATGGAACTGAAGCTGCCTTGTACCATGGGGGCTCTTTAGGGTCTACTGCCAGCTCCTGGTGTATGCCCTGGAGCTGGGATGGAGACATGGATTGTGTGATCCTTGGGCTTCTCCCTCCCTGAGAGCAGCAGGGCCTTGTGCCCAGGTCCTCGGGCCACTCTGGGGCAGAGCAGTTCCCATGCTTTCCTTGACTAGTCATGTGAGCAGTGGTGCAGCCTGCCACAGCAAGTGAATCTGGCTGCATGGGGTGGGTTTTTCATTGCGTGTCCCTTTCTTCTCCTGTAGCCATCATGAATGTGTACGAAGCCCACCACAGCACCCACCTGCGGCAGCGAGCCATCACAGAGTTGTACGACCACATCAAAGCTGATGATAGATTCACCAAGTGCATCAGCATTGGGCCGGTAGGACACTTACTGTTGATCCTTTAAAAATCTTGCCCCTTGCTCTTTAGGGACCAGCTTGTGGCCCCCCAGCCCTTTGCAACAGTGGTGTGTAACCATAATCACCAGATCTTGCTCAGGCACAACTTCTGCTCCTAATGCTCAAGAGCTTAATGCTAACAGGGCACAGAAGGTGCAGAGGGGATGGGGACAGCTATGGCCCTGGTGAGGAGTACCTCTCCTTGTGGTCCAGGGAAGTGATCTGAGGGGAAGCTCTGGAGTAATCTCATGGCACCTGCCCCACTAACCAGCTATGCTGAGTGATGCCACAGAAGGCGAAGTCAGGATTAAGCCCAGGACCACCTCTAGGTGGCTTTATGCAGGGTGGGAGGGATATATGTCTCTGGGGCTGGAAAAAGCTGTATCCAGAGCAGTGACGGTGCTGCTCTCGGCAGATTTCCAAGACGATCAATATGCTGGTTCGCTGGTTCGTGGATGGGAAGAACTCCCCAGCTTTTCAGGAGCATGTTTCCAGGATCCCCGACTATCTCTGGTAAGGGCTGGGCGTGGCCCACTTGGCACAGTGTAGGGCTCTGATTCCTGTGGAGTGAGCACACCATGGCTCCCAACCCACTTCCTGGCACTCTCGCTGTGCCTGCATTGCAGCACTGTGCTCTCTCCTCCCACAGGCTGGGCCTCGACGGCATGAAGATGCAGGTGAAGTGCTGTAGGAGTTCAGCTGTGACTGAGAGGGACGCCGGGGTGCTGGGGCAGCCCACGGAATAATGGGATAGCTTGTTCACCCTGGGCCTGAGCTCCTGGCATCTTGCCTTTGGTGCCTGGTGGCCTTGTCTGTCTCACTGCCGCTTCCCCTGGGTGTGCCAGGAGTGAGTAGTGTCCATCCTGCTAGTTTGCCTCTCTGTGGCTGTGAGCTGAGGGGGCAGCTCTAGGCCTCCATCCCCTTCATCCTCATGGGTCCTGGGAGAAGGGAAGGAGAAAGACAGGCCTCTGATACTGCATGTGGACTGAGCTGTGCTTCTCTCATAGTTGTTGTGTCCCTCTGCTCCTTATCGCTAGCCACCTCTCCTGTCTTAGCTGTGCACAGAGCAGGCTGAAGCAGCTGTCTCATTTCCTATCCCCTTGCTGTCCCTGAGCTGCTGCATCTGTCCCCTCTGTGCCAGCACATCAGCCGTGATGCTCGGTGACATAAAACTGAGACGCAGGGTGGAGGGAGCTAGTGGAGGTAATGCAGGAGGGATATGTTGTCCCATAGAACCCACAGCTAGGTCAGGCTGCTGCCAGCACCTGCCCCTCACTATCTACTTTCTCTCTTCAGGGCACAAACGGATCCCAGCTCTGGGATACTACCTTTGCCATCCAAGCCTTCTTGGAGGTAATGCACCTCTCAGTGCTACATGCTGCCTTGGGAAAATGGTCCCTCCTGGCGCGTCCCTGAATACCAGCAGCTCCTACTGTGCATCCCCTCAGACCTCTGCTGTGCCAATTCTGGCATTGCATTGTATGATTGAGCCAGGCAAACACACGTCTTCTCAGAGCCCACCTCAGTCATGGTAGGCAGAGTGCCCAGCACAGCTGGTGCAGCCCAACTTTGCCAGCTGCTTTTGAACCAGGAGGCCACAGCGCCGGCTGAGTGGGTCAGGTTAGACTTCCCAGTTGCTGCAGTCTTGTGGTAAAACCCTGGCCCTTCCTCCTTGCTCTGCTTGGCACCAGAGCATTGCCATTTGGCAGGAACAACGTCCAGGTCTCCTGCTTTACTGCATTGGGGCACAGACAGCTACGGTAGGCATGCTTTTTGGAGGGTGGTGTGATTGCCCTGGTAAGCCCCTAACCTGATCATGCAAATATCTCTCTCAGCGATGCCGGCAACAGTTGTTGGTTCAGTTCTCACTGTAGAGGTTTGTAATGGAAACAGTAAGCAAAGTATGAGTGCAAACCTACAGAAAGGGCTATATGAAGGGACAGGCATTAATGGCACCTAAATCAGCAGGTCAGCAAGGTCCCAGCATATCCTCTTCTTCCTGAGGGAGCATGTTTGGTAGCCACAACTCCTTGCTGACTGCTGACTGTGCACCTCTGTTTCTAGGCAGAAGCCCAGAAGATGCCTGAATTCACGTCCTGCCTCCAAAATGCCTATGAGTTCCTCCGATTCACCCAGGTGAGCGGAGCCAATTGGTGGTGTTGCTCACATGCTGGCTATGCAGACTTGGCTGTTTGTCAGAGCCCTGTTGGATGTGTCTGTTGCCTTCTGAAGGGCTGGACTAGCAAAGTCCTAGGGACAGCCTCCTGTTTTCTGCTCACTGTTGCTGGGAGCCATCTTTGCAGCTTGGAGAAGACCTTGGCCAGGCCCAGGGATGTTTGGGTTGGCTGCCTGGCCTAAGAGAGGCTGGAAAAGTAAGAGCTTAGGCTACTTTGCCCTTCATTCTGTCTGGTGCCCACACATTTGAGGCACCCTTCTGGGAAACCCAGACTCCTTGACTAGTGACTGCATGAGCTCAGCTCCTGCTAGCCAGGCCAGTGGCTCAAGGTGGGGATCACTGTCACCAGCAGCTTGGTGCAAACGCAATGCTGCCAATGGGAGCATTGAAAGCAGATGGCTCCCTGGCAGGAAAGCACCCAAAGAGGCGACTTCAGCAACACTTGCTGAAACCAGGCCAAAATGTGATTTCTCTTCAGCACTCCCTGCTCCAGATCTGACCTCTTCCCCTGTCTGCCTCCCTCAGTAGAGGACAGGTGGTGCCCAGTCCCACACGGTCCTGCATCTGCGATGGTTTCAGCCTATGGTCTTGCAGCCAGGCATCTCCAGCCTGCCCTGACTTGTTTCTTGTCTTCTGCAGATCCCAGAGAACCCACCCGACTACCAGAAATATTATCGCCATATGAACAAGGTATGATGGCTGGAACTGGTCTCTGAAGGATGCACGAACAGGGCAGGGATTTGGGCAGAAGGGATGGGAATGAGGGGCAGTACCTCCCCCCCTTACAAGAACAGAACAGGTCAGGGGAAGGTGCTGAGCCCTCCCCACTCCTTTCCAGGGTGGCTTCCCCTTCAGCACCCGAGACTGTGGCTGGATTGTGGCAGACTGCACAGCAGAGGGACTGAAGTCAGTTATGCTGCTGCAGGAAAAGTGCCCCTTCATAGCCAAGCTTGTCCCCTCTGAGCGCCTCTTTGATGCTGTGAATGTGGTAAGTAAGTGTTGCAAAAATTAGGGCCAAGGGAAATGCGGGCAGCTAAACCGAGCTAAAATAAGAGAAGTCAAGGCCTGATGAGTTGTTAGATCTGGTATTACTAAGCTAGTAGAAGGCCTGTTGCCTGCTATGGCAACACCATATTTACTGTGACAGGGAGATACATATGTGACGTAATGTAATGTGATGGTCCAGATTGGGCCTGCCTGTCAATGTGGTTTGAGACCTGGGTTTGCCAACCCCATGGACTTGTGGGTCTGACTTTGTCCTCACACCTGGCTTGGGGCCAGACTGGGATGGTACTGCCTGTGAGCCAGTCCCAACCCCTCTCTCTGCTTGTCTGGACAGCTGCTGAGCATGAGGAACTTGGATGGAGGCTTTGCCACATATGAAACCAAGCGAGGAGGCCACTTACTGGCCACTTACTGGAGCTGCGGAACCCGTCAGAGGTGTTTGGTAAGGGGAGCTGTGTGGGGCTGGTCATCCTGTCCACTGTGAAGGGACACAGTGGACTAGCCTCGCTGTACCCAGTGGGTGCCTGGCTTTACCCCAGGTCCCTCTGTGGGATAAGAGTACCCTGGGTCCAAGGGAGAGGTTGGCAGCGTGTGGCTCGGAGGCTCCCCAGTGGAGGGGCTGTTGCACTGATACCCTTCACCTGCTGGCAGGCGACATCATGATTGACTACACCTACGTGGAGTGCACATCGGCTGTCATGCAGGCACTGAGACACTTCCATGACAGGTTCCCTGAGCACAGAGCCCCAGAGATCAGGTGAGGCACTGAGATGAGAGTCAGGTAGGGGAGAAGACAGGCTGCAATGTCCCATGCTGCCTTTCCTGGCCTCTGTGGCACAGCCCCTGCTGAGCCTTGTCAGGGGTCTTGCCTGGACCTCTGCATTGGCATGGAGCAGCCCCTGCGGTGGCCCTTGGTGTGCACACAGCTGGGATGCTGGTGACTTCTCCAAACCAGAGCCCCGCCCAAGAGGCTGGGGGCC